GCACAGCCAGCTCACAGCACCAGCACCAGCACCCGGCACCCAGCACCAGCACCGGCGCCAGCAACCTGTCTCCACCACGCGCACAGCCAGCAGCACCAGCACCGGCGCCCAGCACCAGCAACCTGTCTCGAAAGCGCGCGCGGGCAACTCTTTTTTGTTTGAAGTAAGAACCCCATAGCTTCGCTATCTGGGGAAAAACCGATGCCAACGGTACACATGATGACCTTGATGAAGTCTGTCAAAACTTTAATGCCAAACTATTGCCGCCCCGTCCAAAAAATCCTTGATCCATAGAGCTTCGATGCGTGACACGCTGTCTGGTGGGGACAACTCAAGCTAATCGTCGCTGAATCTTGACAGGGACCTTGCGGTGGTGAACTCCGAGAGAGCGGGTCAGAATGAGATATGACACGTAAGCTGCGGAAAGGCCCTTATTTTTGCAAAGGAGGGACACAACATCCCGCACTTCTTCGACCTTTGCCATGTGTCCTCGATAAGCCAATGTACTGTAGCCTTTCATCTCCATCATAAACGGCGTAAACACCCATTTCCTCGGGGCAACTTGCTCAAGGCAGCGGGCACGGTCATCTTGTCTACTTCGGAGCCAGGGCAGCCAGGGCTCATCAAGCAACAGCTGTAAAGGCCTTCTACGCAATCCAAACCAGCTGGAATGCAGGTCGGTGACCCTTCGCAGCTGAATAAATGGGGGGAGACGCCTCTAAACCCGGTTTAAGTCTTGCACGTCAAAATTGTGGCCTTGAAGAGCCCGACGAAAATGCTTTGCGCTACCTTTGGGAATTCAAGGGCCCGCGCCTCTGGAAGGGAGGAGACGTCTAGCTCACCCGTGACCACATCCACAGGTGTGAGGAAAATCGGCGCCTCTGTCATTGGTGGCACCTCAAAGAATTGCTGATGGGCATGAAATAAAATTTCTGATTGACTTTCATCGGTTGCTTTATTTCACGTCGAGAACGTTTTGCTGGCAACTCCGACCAGCATTGGAGTTGACCCCACACGAGGAACCAAGACGCCTATTCACATCCTGTTTGTCAGAGACCTTACTAACCTTTGTTGCGGTACATACATAATTGATCATAATTTGATTAACCTTTTGTGAACACATATAACATGTGTTCACAAAGTATTTATTACTTGTGCCAATGAAGCACAAATTATACAAGCATAGACCCCAAACAGCTTCGAAACGATTCGTTTAGACCAATATCAGTCAAAAATCGATTTCTTGGTTCGCCCTACTTTCACCCCAAGAGCAAACTGCTTCATCAATGAATTTTTGTCGGCATTGACATCGCTATTTGTTCGGCCACACTCCTTTCCAGTAAGCCGGGCCACAGAGACCGGCCATAGAGTTCGGGGGCGCGGCCAAGACAAGGACAAGAGGAGGACAAGACCCGGACACAGAGCCGGACCACAGAGCCCAGCCACAGAGTTCAGGGGCGCGGCCAAAACAAGGACAAGAGGAGGACAAGGCCCAGCCACAGAGCCCAGCGCAGAGAAGAGCCCAGTAAGCCGTCCATAGCGCACGAGCACGCGCGCGCTCGCCCTGCTCTCTCTCTCTCTCTCTCTCTTTCTCTCTCTTTCTCTTCAAGTTTCTCTTTCTCTGTCTTCCTCTCTGCAGGGCGCGCCATGAGCGGGCCTTTCTGGAGCATATTTCAGGGCGCGAGCAGGCGCGCCGTCCATAGCGCACGAGCGCGCGCGCGCTCGCCCTGCTCTCTTTCCTTCTCTCTCTCTCTCTTTCTTTCTCTCTCTCTCTTTCTCTTTAAGTTCTCTTTCTCTGTCTTCCTCTCTGCAGGGCGCGCCCTGAGCGCGCCTTTCTGGAGCATATTTCAGGGCGAGCGCGCCGTCCATGGCACACGAGCGCGCTCGCTCGCCCTGCTCTCTCTCTCTCTCTATATCTCGCCTTTTTTTTTTTTTTCTCTCTCTCTCTCTCTCTCGCTCATTCTCTTCCAGTGTTTCTTTCTCTGTCTTTCTCTCTGCGCAGCGTGCTCCGAGCGAGCCTTTCTGGAGCGTGAGCGCGCCGTCATAGCACGCAAGCGCGCTCGCTCTGCGCTCTTTCTTTCTTTCTTTCTTTCTTTCTCTCTCTCTCTCTCTCTTTCTCTCTCTCTCTCTCTCTCTCTCTCTTCTTTAAGTTTCTCTTTCTCTCTCTTTCTCTCTGCAGAGCGCGCCCTAAGCGCGCCTTTCTGGAGCGTATTTCTGCTCGTCTCTTTCCTTCTGTCTTTCTTTCTTTCTGTCTCTCTCCCTCTCTCTGTCTGTCTGTCTGTCTCTGTCTGTCTCTGTCTGTCTCAGTCTGTCTCTGTCACTGTCTGTCTCTGTCACTGTCTGTCTCTGTCACTGTCTGTCTCTGTCTCTGTCTCTGTCACTGTCGGTCTCTGTCTCTGTCTCTCTCTGTCTCTGTCCGTCTCTGTCTCTAGGACAAGGCCCAGCCACAGAGTTGACAGAGTTCAGGGACGCGGCCAAGAGGAGGACAAGGCCCAGCCACAGAGTTGACAGAGTTC